TAGTTTGAGCCCGGCAAGCGTGATGGCTGGAGCTGCGCGGCTGGGCCGCGTGTGCCGCAGCCCGCGCAAGATGCGCGGCCGCGGGTTTTGCCCTGCCTTGCTGGGAAACGCTGTCGCCTTTCGCTTAAATCCAGCGCTGCCACAGGGTCAGTGGAGGTTTTACGGTATTTAGAAAATGCAGGCTCGGCCCACGGCGCGCACGCCTGTGTGTGTGTGTGTGTGTGTGTGCCCGTGTGTGCCCGTAAATACATAGTAACAGCTAAGCTGCTCGGTTTTAATGAGCCCTAGGCGAGAACAAAAAGGTGCAGGTTTGAATGCTTGGGTGTGCATTTGCTCACGCGTATATCCGTCCACCTTACCTTTACGGCATGAGGGTTTGTTCCATTGTTTTGCAGAGTTTGTAATGCAACCTGTAGCTAGGATGTATCTCCTTGTGAAAGAGGAGACGAGGAGGTGTGTAAACCCGTGCTTTGTTTATGGGACATTAGAAGGCCTGAAATAGACCCCCGTGTTTAGCAGCTGGTTTTATGGAAGGCAAAGCCATAGTCTGCTTGTGCCACCAGCTGAACCCGCCACATATTCTTAGGCTATTCAGTGTCCCACGGACTGCTGTGAGGCATTTCTGTTCCAAATGATTGTAACCTGTGCTTTGTGATGCTTCATTCACCTTTAGGTTTGTTTGGGGTTTAACATGTGCTTGAAAGGCAAAATGTCCATGTTATGGACCAGCCATTGTTCTAAAAGTAAAGTATTAGAAAAGGATCCTTTTTAATTGATAAAATACATTCTGGAAGGAAAAAAAGACATTCTGTCTCTAACCATCTTAGATCAGAAGTAAAAACAGCTACAGAGATAGAAAGAGCATCATTTTTTTCTATCTAACTTTTACTTCATTTGCCACCAAAATACCAACTTTGTTTAAAAAGCCTCTAAAAAGAAATTCCATCTGTTGCTGTATCAGTAACTGCCCTTCTCAGGCTAGGAGCCCATGCCGAAATTGCGCAGAAATCGACTGTCAAAACCTGTCTGAAATCTAGGAATTGCCATATTGCTGGTGAGCATAGGCCTTCTGCTGTGGCTCTGTGGAAATTCACTGACGAAAATGAGATCTGCTTCACCATCATACTGAATGACTCCTATTTGACTTTGACTTTTTGGAAGGGATTGTGGTGTTTTTTTTTTTCTTTTTAAGAGGCATCACAGAGAGAGCACTTCACTGAAGCACACTGCAGCATCCTCTGGTTTGTCACTTGAGACTATTTATGCTGTAGTTGGACCAACTGGGCTCTCCAGCCCGGGTGAGGACAGGAGACATGTTGGCAGTGAGCACCATGTTCCACATATCCCTGTGCAGAGGATTATCCTCCGAGTTATTCGAGGCTTTCTACAGACTGCTGTAGAACATGGAGGATCAATTGTCCTTCGTGTCCAAATCCTGCTTTTTACAAGGGTTTTAAAGGATGAAGGGGGAGGCAGAGATTTCTCAGCTGGTCTGCTTGCAGGATGCTCATCTTGGGTCTCTGTCCTACATTTTCTTGGGGGTTTTCTGGTTTTGGGGTTTGTTCTTTACCAGGGGAAGAGTGGTGACTGAGCAAAAATAGGTCTCTCCTTCCTTCCATGCTCTCCTCTGTCTTTTTCTCAGCTTGCTCATTTCTGTAGAAGCACGTTTAGCACATAGTGTGACAATAACCACCACTGTAAAAGTTTGTATTGTGAAGGCAAATGAGACATTGTGGGAATATTTAAATATTCTAAGCCTGAATTCAGTTTCCTTTGATAGCTATTTATTGCTGTGACCTTAATACAATCCAAAAACCTTTAGCGGCCACTCTTGGGAAAAATGGCAGCTTTTTCATGTTGAAAGTGTTTCACGGCCCTTTTGTAGTTAAGTCTCATAATATTTGTGTAAGCCTGTCAGGTAAATATCACTCTGAGTCTCATACAGTCAAGAAAGCTGAAGCAAAGAAATTACTCATAAACTGGGGCAGAAAGGAGTTACATATGAACTTATGCAAAAGGTTCTTTCTTCCATAGTGCAAAACTTCTTTTAAGTAAGAATTTCAGAGCTGCTGTTTAGCCCTTACAAATACATCTGGATAGTCTGTTTTGTTGCTGTAAAGTCCCACTCGTACAGCACTTCCACTTTCTGTGGAAGGCAAGAGTTCGTTTATTTGTGGGAGTGCGTTCTGGGATCTCTTCAGCAAAACCAAGACTGTTGAGAGGATTTCACAGAGAAATATAATTAGGAAAAAATGTGCCTATATTCCTCTGCCAAATGCCTTCCCTAAATTGACTGGGAAGGGCTCAAAACAAAAATGTACTTAAAACCATTTTCCTTTATGGCTCATCTTTAAGTGTTTTGCCTAAAGTAATGATTCACTGGGTGAATCAGACTGGGATTTTATGATTTCTTATTTGCCTGCCTTTGATCAGCTGAGTAGCCTGTCGAGACTTAATTTGGACTGTCTTCCTTTTCTTTATGGCAGCATGAAAGGGCAGTGTGGAGAGCAATGGGGCAGAGCAGAAACATTTTCCTGTTGCAGCGCAAGGTCACATAGTACTGAGAGAAAAGTTGAGAATCCACATTTGTGCTCATCACTTCTTTTTTTATAGTATCCTTCTCTGAGCTTCCTTCTCAAGTCTTCTGCCATTTGTTTGTTTCCGCAGCCCCCACCCCCCCCTTATCTTTTAACTGCTCCATCCCTCGCACTGTGGGGGCTGTGTGAGAGAGAAGGAGCCTGGAAATGAAAGGTGATGGCTTGCAGCCACCAAGCAAACAGCTGCAGCAGCTGGAAGGCCTTCTGGCTGCCACACTGCTCTCAGCCTGGTGGTTGCTGGTGGGCAGGACAGGCACATGCCAGCACCTCGGTGGTTTTTCATGGCACCCTCAAGCCTACCAGTTGGGCCAGGGTGAGCCCCCTTCCTTGCATCACTCCCCTGGCTGCAGCCTGCTGCAGAGGGGCAGTACCGCGGGAGCTGGAGGCAATGACATTTCAAGCACTGCAGATGTTTGTTCAGTGGATGTGAGTCAGTCTTTAATTTCCAAGAGCTTTTATTATCTCTGTGGCTCTTCTCTAATCTCTCCATTTTGTTCTTCCTGTAGATGAGGAGTACATCAGGAGCTTTATGTTCCGCATGTCAGGTGTCACTAATGCTGAACAAAAAGGAGATGGTTGCTTTCCAACCTCCCAACGTGATACTGTTACGCAGAAAGTCTATGACTGCTTTTTGTCATTTAAGTGAATAGTCTGTACACAGAGTTTCAGGCTCAGTGTTTCATTATTTATATCCATGGTGTCTTACTGGTCATATTGCTCTTCTTTGAAAGAACTTCCAGAAGTATGAGCAAAGAAAGACGTATCACATCTCAGGCTTTGCAGGAATAAAAACAACTTGTGTGAAACTCAAGCACTGGATTCTGACGATTTGTAATGGACCAAGAGGAGTTCTTGGAAAAACTCCCTTTGAGAAGAAAGTTGAGTCATATTTCAGCTTTTAAACAAATTCTCTTTAATTCCATAGTTAAAATTCCTTAGCCTGACTTGGATATTTACCATCCCTAAGACCATTTGACTACGGGAGGTATGCAGTGAATGAAGCGCCCAGTGAGTGTGCAAGGGCACATGACAAAACCCATACTCCAGAGATGGGCGAGATGGTGTCCAGCCCAACCACTTACCTGTCACATACTGGGGCAGCTTTTGGGCAGCCATGTGTCTTAAGATGGCAATTTTTGAATGATGACATCTATGAAAAAAAAATTACGTGGTGAATTAAGCCATCACCAATATCACCAGGAGTGATGATGTTACTGTAAAAACACAACTTGTAACAAAGTGTTTTCTGAGTTTACACCTCTTCGGGGTACTGCCCAGAAAGAATTCATGCTTGAGCCAGCAGAAAAAATAAAGTTAGATGCCTGTGTCACTATATTTTTCAAATACAAACTTTCTGAGCCCATTACCCCTGTTGTGGAATTTTAACAGTCCAGAAAACTGGAGTTGCAGGGATTTTTATTTTTTTTTTTATGTTTCAGAAGGCAATGGAGAAAATTACCCAGTTCTTGGAATGTGTTTTAATGGCTTGTGAAGGTTTCAGTGTTCTTGAGAAAAATAAACTCATTTTATCTTTTTGTGTCATCTCACAGTCCTCCTTCTGAAGTCTGTGACCAGTTGTAATCTTTCCTGTATTCTGCAAGGAGCACACGATGAATAAATCATCCATTATGGCTTTTACAAGTCATGTCATGGGATGTTTAAAGGGAAAAACAAGCTCACAGGCCAGAGCAGTGCTTTTTCTACTAAATGGATGGGCTGGATCAGCTACCAAACACAGACCTTTGAGGTTCCTTTAGAAGGGTCATTAGCTCTTCGTTTTCTCTCAGGGTGATTCCTACTTCAGGAAGGATTGTTTGCCCCTCTGACTATAAAAATTTGAAGTAAGAGCAAAATTCTTATTTCTTCTTGTTGATTTATTATGTGTGTGTCTAGAGAGAGGGGTTTGATGGCAGGTCTCTGGAATTTTTCTTTTTTGGAGGTTTAAGGCTGGACAGAGTAGTGGGCGCAGTGACTGGAAGCGATTGGGAATGCTACAGTCTCCAGATTATTATTTATGGCCTTTCTATGTGAATTAGGAATAAAGCTCAGTCTAGGAGCTTTTGCCAACATAGCATTTTTATTTGCATTCATTTCATGGCATTTCTTGAATGAAAAGGTCTTTAAAGTACAAATATTACAGAGTGCTGCTTTCCAATATCTAGGTCAGCATCAACATATGGTGAATTTTTATTAGTTGAAGCAATTCTTTTTTTCTTCCCACAGCATTAGTGGCACCTATTCCTAAGGTGGTGACTTGCTTAGCTCAGCTATCCCAGTGTAGATGCTCCCTTGGGAGCAAAGCTATTGCATTTGCAGAGAGCAGCTCAGCATGGCTGCAAACCCCTCCTGTGGGCCAGGACAGGTTGTCCTCTGACAGTGACAGGCTCCACTGTAGAGGCCAAGTGACAAGCCGGAAACAGACACTTGACTTGTAGGGAATAAAACTTGTTGACATGAACCCTACCCTTTGCTGCATCCATGAACTTGAAATTTAAAATAGGTGGTTTGGGGGTGAAATTCATGTGACCACCAGTACTCCACTGACTGTGCGAGGTGCCTGGAGTGATTAGCAATGACAAAGGGTTTGTTATGTATGTGTGTATATATATATATGGTAAACTTACCTTTGCAAAAAGTTTGCTGTTTGCATAGTGTTTTTTTCCAAGTATCACACTTCTGTCACCCTTTCCCTCTGAATCCACAAGTGCTTCACAAACTGAGTGTTATTGTTGCTATTATCATCTTAATTTTACAGATGGAGGTGCTAAGGATGAGGTGGTTATCCTTTGCCAAAGATTTGTGATGAGTTCATGCTGTGACAGTGAAAGTTTTGGTCCCCAGCTCTACTAGAACTGTCTCTTCACCCTTCTTGTGTTTTGGCGCTGAGATCTGTTTTTCTCATAGTTGGAGGTGTAATGTGTTATTTCACTCAACAGGTTTTTTTATTTCGGGGGGGGGTGATGTTTGTGAGTTTGGGTTTTTTTTCGTAAATCACTTAACTTACCAAGAACCTGTGGCAGATTCAGAGATGTGCCTGGTTGTCACGCTGCCTCAGGAACAATTCATCTGCCTGACACCTGGGATCTGCTTCAATGATTGCTGGTGCTTCAGCTGGCACCGCTTGCACTAAGGTTTTGCTGCATCTTCATTCAATGAGTTTTCCAGAGTCAGAGTTTTGGTTAAAACAAACAAACAAAAAAAAGTTGTCACTTTTGCACTGCAAAGATTCCTCGCGAATAAACCGGAGCGCCATTTTCCTGCCAGTCCGGCCTTGCAGCATTTCTGCTACAGAGGGGTAGAATGGCGAAGCAGGAGCTTCACGTCAGTGAGCTGTGAAGTCTGCTCTCCAGCATGCTATTTACCTCACAGGAGTGCTAATTTCAGCACTGCTTTTGAAACACTTAATGGGGAATTTATTAAGCACAGGCAACGTCAAGGCAGTTTTGAAAATCCTCCCGGGAGCCCATGATGCAAAACGGCACCCAAAGGGAAAGCTTCTCTCCTCTTGAATCTAGATGAACTTTTGCATGGGTTTTTAAATGCCAGGGGATACAGATCTCTGTACAGAGGTTGTCAGGTCTATTAAGGAATTGTTTATTTTAGGAACTCACGGTCACAAGAAGCTTCAGGATTCAGCATGCTCAGTCCTTGCTACCTCAGCAGTCGCCATCTCCTGTGGCTTTATCCTTTTATAAAAAGATCATGCTTCTCTTCCAAAATAGGTAGACTATTTTATCCCTCCAGCTTCCAGGAAGACTGTTCCAGAATGTCACTGCTAGAACCACACTCTGCTTGCCAGTCTGCATTTATTTATCATCAGCCTTAAACCTTTTTTTTTTTTTTTTTTTAAATTGTGCCAACATTTTAACACCCAAGCAGTTGCTCCCCTGGTATCTGTAATGGAAATCTCTTCTGTAGAGGAGTTGAAAAGGACCCAGCTCATATCCCCCTAACACCATCCTCACACTGGGCTGTATGTACCAGGCCCTGTCTGCCACCATAACCACATTCTTAGTTGCTCCTTCAGTAGAAAAGAACAGATACTACCCTACTGTAAGCCTGGAGGCTTGCCTTTTAAATTTACTACACCTGTACAGTCTGGGCACTTGAGGAGATGTTAAGAGCACTTCTAAACTTTAAAACTACATTTCTGATAGAGTTTTTATGAGGAAAAAAACTGCTCATTTGCAGAGCCCTTCTCTGTGTGGTATAAACCAGAAGTATTGGGTTCCATAAACTTAATTTGAAACAGGCAGATGTCATAACTGAACAAATGAACTACATTCTCCTGCCTTGACATAGTGCCCTACAAGAGGCAGGGATGTTCCTGTTTCTTTGGTTGCATGTGAGCAGTTTGATGGGTTTGTGGTAGCCCTGCGAATTTGAAAATATCCCTAAATTAATCTGGCATCTGAGTGTTCACCACGTACCCCAGGGTGAATAGCTGTTTGGCAATACAGCAGGAAATTCATTCACAGAATGAGAATTGAGAGAGTTGTGATGCAGGAGCTTGTTTGTGAATAACATCCTGTTGCCTCAGCACCACGCTGGAGTTGTAGCTCAGCCGAGAGTGGTTGGACTCTGGAAAATATTGGTCTTTCAGTTGATTTGCATTGCTGATGAGGAAATATGTCAGTGCAGCAGACTTGTCTGGTCTGCCTTTGGTGTTATTCTTGGTGCTTTTATGCATCACATCTCTATCAGAGCAAAGATCACCTGATCTCTAGATAGTAACTCCTTGACACAAGATACACATCATTCTTTCTTCCTATGATACGTGAGTTTAGGGATTTGGTTTTGTCTGTTTCTGTCCTTGTTCAGAATAAGTTTAACCATACACAAAGCATCCTCTGCCCATCCTCTACCAAAAAAAAAGTAACATATTCGAATATCTGAAATACAGATATTTGTAGAACAGAGTACTGAGATAACTATTCCTCTGTTCCATCCACTTAGCAACAGCATCGACACAATACATTTTTAAGTAAGAATGGACAACATACAGAAGACGAACACCGAATATCAAAATGGGACTTAGTTAAACAAGCAAATAATTTTTATTCCATTTTTATTCCTTAACCTGTAGGTGGTTAATCTTTTTTTTCCTGAAACAAATAGGACTGGTTTGCTCACTAGTTTACAAATACAAGTAGTGTCTTCAGCAGTGGGTTGCAGGACTGGGTAAATTTATAGGGTTAGCAAAGTTGATCTCATACTGTTCTGTAATGCGTTTAGGTTGTTATAACCTGAGGTTCTTCTAACGATAGAAAATTGGTTGTTAATGACAGTCTCTCTTGTCCAGGTTTTACTGGTTTCTTCTGGGGATACCGCCTGCTGTCAGTGGTATACATCTTGGTTTTTTTTTCTTGTGTTTTGTTTAGGTTGCTGACACTGTGGCTGCAGTTTACTCACGTGATACCAACCAAACACTAGTATTTGGAGAAACACTTTGATAGGTACAGTTCCTCACCCAGGATGCCTTTCAAAGCTGGATTAGAACTGACTGAATTGCAGAATATGACTGTGCCTGAAGATGATAACATCAGCAATGATTCAAATGATTTCACAGAGGTGGAAAATGGCCAGATAAATAGGTGAGTATTTTTCCACTGATGCTGCCTGTGTTAAGAAACACACTGTTTAAAAACAGCATTCTAATTTTCAGCATATATCTTGAATTATTCATTACCAAGTCATGCTCCATTTGAAGATGTAATTTGAATTTCATATGTGACATCTGTTGGGCATAGGCTGCAACAGCAGATAAAGCAAACAGAGTGGCAATTTATTCATCATTTTGAATCCTTCAAATTAGTCTAATAAAATGCACAAACATATAATGTAGCAAAAACCCAACATTTTGAAATGTCTGCTTACACTCAGCAAAGAAGTAATAATAATTAATACAATTAGACCAACAGCATAACTTGGGGCAAATCTCTTTGTTGACCTTTTGATCTCTGATATGACAGTTTTAACCTGCCTGGCCACCTCCATGCATCCAAGTGCCCGGGGATATACAGCTGGTGTGGTTGGCAGCAGGTGTAGTCCCAGTCCACATTCACAGTTGAGCAACATAAACTGGGCAGTGGCTGCTGCTCTCTGAGGCAGGGATAAGAAACTGGTAAAACAGAGACTTACACCTAACTCATGTCAAGTTTAAAAAATGCTTCTATTTATCAATATCGGTGAAAATCATCAGGTTTGTTTAAATTATTAAGTTGTTGGCTTTTCCTCTAAGCTGTAAAGTCATTGCCAAAGAGCAGCCTGTTCCACCTGAGAGCGACTCTTCAGGCCTTCCTAGAAGCCTCCAACAGGTGCTGAGCTGTCCTGTTCACAGCAAAGACATGCTGACAGACCCTCTTTGGGGTTTGTGAACTGTAAAACAAGAAGCTGTTTTTCAATCAAACTTCCTGTTCAAATATTACAAACCAAGGTGGAGCACACCCGCCGGCCGGTGCCTGTGCAGGGATCCAGCCCTGCCCGGCCTCTGCCAGCACATCATCCTGGTCCTTTATGGGTGGGCTGCTGCCGTCTGTGTTTATGGTTTTTAAAAACCTCTCTCTCTTTCCCTTTCTTCTTTTTGGCAGCAGCTTCTCTGGATACCCAAAGAAACTCACTTTCTAGTGTGTAAAAACAAAATTAAGAACTGTTTTTTATCCAAGTGAGGGTAGAGTCGTGTGGCTGTCACATCTGTGCAGGTGGACAAGGAGTTTGGTGGCGGGTGCAGGAATAAGCACTGGGCATTGGCCATGCCATGCCCATAGCAGAACCAGCCAGCCATACCCTGGGACCAAGCGGGGGGCCCTGGCTGGTGGCGTGGGCAAGCCCCTCTGGCAGAAGGATGCCAACCTGCCCCACCCAGGGGAAGTCCTGGGGCGGTCACCAGCTGTGCTGTGTAGCGGTGCGACCGCAGCACAGCTGCACTGATGAAGATTAGAGCTGGTCAGGAATTTTCTGATGCAACTGCTTTGATGGAAAGTGCCAAAACAAAATGCAAACCACTTCTATAAAAAAACCCCAAACAAAACAGAAAGGCAAGACAAGAAACAAAAACCCCTCCACCTTTGCCAAAACAAAACAGTTCCAGTATGAACCTGCTTGCTTTCCTGCTGGCTCACTCACTCCATAAGGTGAGGAGCTCAGGGGCTGACAGTGCCAAATTTGCTCCCAGGAGCCTGCTGAGGATTTATATCCTTGAGAGAAGGAATGGCTGTACCAGGCTGGCTGCACCTCCCCAGTGCTTTGGCAGGTGCCACCAGTAACTTATGGGAAAAAACCCTGTTACAGCTTTATCTGTCAGAGAATGTTTATGGAGGGTGGGGAAGGAGCGTGCCGTATATGCCTGATCCTCTGGAGTCACAATATGCTTTGTGGAGTTCGGGCGTAGCAAGAGTGGCAAGGTCTGGGTCAGATCCCGACTGCCTGCGAAGGGAAGAAGAAAAAAAGTGGGGTGAGGAAGGAGCATCAGAAATTCAGGGGCAGAATTTCTGATTATTGTTCTGGCTTTTTGAGCAGATTAACATATTCCACAATTTTCCATTCCTTTCTGGATAACGTTTTTCCTCTGCAGTATCATTTTGTTGTAGGATGTAGCCTATTACGGGTGTCTATTACCCCTCTGCCGGGGCGCTCACAGGACACCTGCTTACTCATGCATCTCATGCATGAGTATTTTGCACTGTATATCCCAGTGTGTTCATGTTCCCCTCCGTAAGAAGGGTGTCAAGGCAGCTCACACTGACCACAGGTTCGAGAGCAGCAGCATGTTGGCACCAGCGCAGTCCTGTCACCATCCCCTTGGGGCCGCGGCTGGGGCGGAGCCACCCGTGGCCACTGCCCTGTGCAAGCACCTCCCTGCCAACACGGGTGATGAGCCAGCAGGCAGACCCTGCTCTGTACCCTGTGCCAAACACATCCTGAAAGGATGTGGTTATTTCCTTTCTATAACTATTTTGGCAAATGCCCTGTCTCCATGGAATAAGAGGTTAACGGGCTCACAAAAGGACAGATTTTGTGCCGCCTGGCACATGGTGCAAGGCCTTGTGAAACTCCAAAGTCTATCAAAATCAGTGGGACTTTTTCTGTTGATTTCACTTGAGCTTTAGATTAGATCTGTAATTTTCAACTAATGTTTTTTGTTGTTGTTTCAACCTGTTCGATTTTGAACTCTGTATTTAATTTTAAACATTTTTTGCTCCCAGTGCATAGTTTTTCAAGGTCAATGTAGAGCAAAATTTTTAAGGGTCTTTTGGAGAAGGTACACCAGGGAGAAGCTGATTCCAGGTCTGGCTGTAAAATCCAAATATGTCTTGATCTTGGAAAAGAATTCTCTAGTTTCCTTTGGATTTCCAGCCTTTTCTGGGCCTAAATATTCATTTATGTATGCAGTTTTATGCAGGGAGGGGATGTTGTTTGGAAGGGGCTGTATTGGGAGAGGTTTTTTCTTTATATGCAGATGTTGAATTTCTTCTGCAAATGTCATTAAAGAGATTTGCATCAAATACAGACATGGATTTGGTTACTTTTAACCATGTATCCTGACTATAAAACTTTGCCATCTCTGCACATAACTGTAAACCATTATGTAGATGACTCATTCCTTATCTGTAAGTATGACGATGCTCTCGGGAAGCGGATGGCTGCATGCCTGTCTTGGTTTACAATTACTACTAAGTTATCAGCACCCCTCGTTCAGTTAACAAGGTTGTTAGTAGGTATACCCAGAACTGGTCCAAGTTTCATAGTGTAAATCAGACCAAGGTTTCTTCTGCATTTCTTGTTCCTGCCTGCCATGGAAATCTTTGCCATTGCTCAAGTTAGTGCTCACTTTAAGAAGCTGCCTAAGGATAAAGTTCTGTCATCTTGTCAAAACTAGCTTTCCTTAACAAATGTTTAAGGCATTGTCAAATATCACTTTAATTATGTTTAAACATATCTGAGATGGCTAAATGGTTTTTGGCTAAGTCTGCTTAGCCAAAATGGTTAGCTTGGGGATATCACCTTAATCAAATATTTCTTATTTAAATCCTTTAATTAATTAAAATTTGGAAACTGTAGTTAAACATGGTCCTTTTAAAGCCACTTTATCAATAAGATTAATTTTCTACTTTGTGCTAAATCAAACCAAGAAAAGAATTAGATGAAGAAATTCTTTCCAAGCCAACCATGAGGCTTCATGCATTGCAAGAATGAGCTGATTATTTTTTGGCCAGGATATTTTATTAATGTATCTGAAAAGTTCTGTATAAGCTGTTCTTACTCAGCTGTGATGTAGAAAACACAAGAGGAAAGCAGAAGCATATAAGAACAGGTTATGTCTTTTAATGATGAGTAAAGTGTTTGAAATGAAGACAACAAACAGCGCAAATGGATTTCATGCTTGTCAGGGAGTCACAAAGCTTTGATGGCACAGACGGTCCTACTGCGCATTTCCACAACACCTGTCACAGTGGCCTCTGGTCCTTGGGAGGGCTGCAGAGGCTAGAGTAAACAGTCATTTCATTTTATTCATGTCATATTTATAAAGGTCAAATATACAACATTCTGTGACAATGAATAGTTCGTTTTCTAAGTGCATCTATTAAGCAAAGCAGATACATGTCACAGTTTAACTAGAAATTCCAATATTCCAACATATGCTCCCTTTTATATGCTATAGGGGAAAAAAAACCAAACAAACAAACAAACAAAAAGTTTATAAAAAGCAAAATCTTGAGAAAATTTGTTTCTGTTGAATCTATTGGATTACATTCCCCCTATTTTATTTTTTTTTAAATTTAGATTCAGTAATACATTCCATTTATGGAAACCTTAGGCTGTCGTACAGTACATCTGCCCCACCTACTGAGTGTGATCCCAAGGCAACCTTCTCGTCTGGACTTGCAGGTTAAGTTACCTGCAATGGCAGATGCAGCACAGTCTTGGGATCAGGCAGACCCCACAGCCCCCACCACTGCACCGGTCCTGAGCTTTCTGGGCAAGCCGTCCTGGGGCTGGGAGGCAGCTGCTGGGAAGCACCCTTTAAAAAAGCTGGGCACAATGCTATGTACCCTGTGGTTTGGGAGCCTGGTAGCCACATTCCCATGTCTGACTTCGCCCTCCCATATACATCACACAGCATAAATGGAGAAAAACGTGCAGTGTGACATTGTAAACGTGGGGTGGGTAAGGAGCCTGGCTTAGGAGACGAGATGCTGAACAATAAACCCAGTTCATTTTAACGTAGTACTAACTCAAATGAAAGTACTTTGGATCAATTTATCAAATCAGACCAGTTATTCTTAAGGTCCCATCCAGAAGGAAATAATGTGTTTGTTGGCCACAGAAGATAACAGTCCTACAGAAGCTGTTTGTCAGAAGTATTCTAATAGAAAATCCCACGGTTGCTTTATATTCAAGCAATATTACTCAAGTGTTGTCTTTTTCATGTTTTAATATAACAATAATTTAAATTTAATACTAGGTGGCAATAATACTAGTATCGACAAATTGGTTATTTTTGTAATTATTAAGGGGGGGACTGACTGCAGAGGGATGAGGAGAAGTGGGGAGAGCAGACTAGTTACTTCTGTCATAATTCTGACAAAATCTAAAATGACACATGATCTCCATAAATGACAGAAGAAGGCAAAGTCCACAGATGTTCCCAGCAGCACTTACAAATCCAAAAGAGACAAAACTCTTCTCTGTGCTTCTGCCTGTACAAACTGCCTGCGGGGTGTTTCAAGAGAGAACTGGAATGTCTTTTTCAAACCATTCACACTCTGCTGCCTGCATTCAAGAGACGGGCTTTAAACAGACATGAAAAAAAAAAAAAAAAGCACACGCTCTGAGTCAAGTTGAGATTTTATTCCATGAGGATGAAATACCTAAACGGTGAGCTTTGGAAAGTTAATTTTGGATCAGTCTATCTTAGAAGTGGTTGCTTTTCACTTCTTAAAACAGTAGGGGAAGTTTAGCCATCTATTCCAGCTGCGTTAGGGCTTGTAAACCTGGCACATTGTCCATATTTTGCAGCAAATTAGCTGCAGAAGTTAGTAGTTGAAGAAATAAAGGAGAAGCCTGTAGTTGTTTTTTGTTGATATCAAGGAAGTCAAAGCAGGCCAATGGGTAGGAGTGAAAGTTGCAACAAAACAGCAAAAATACTACATGCATTTTGCCAGCTATGCCCAGATTTAAGGGATAAAGTCAAAATGTGTATACAGGTCCCAATGTGTCAGCTGTGAAAGCCAAGTCAGCAGCATTACAACTGCATGATTTTGGCATATGCTTAGAAGCTGTGCTAGCATCTATTACTAGTAATTAGGCCACAACTGGGGTAGTAGGGAAGTTTGACAGAGCTTTGTCTTTATGAGTTCATGGTTATATTACCAGGCTGAATACCGCTGGATGTACTCAAATGATGCACCCTCCTGAGTCACAGTTTGAACTATACATCCCCAGCCAGTAGACATTCCCAGCTGTGGGAAAGTCCCAGCAGTGCTGCTCTTTGTGTACAGCATATTGTTTGTCTATTTTAATATAAGAAGAGCCACCTTAATTTATGTACAGCAAAAAAGGTCTCTGACACTTGGTGACAGCCTCTGGTTAGGTATGTAACATGTACAATGACTGATGCATTAGCCAGTGCAGCATAAGAACCATCTGTGGATTAACGAAGATGCCAGGGACTTAATTGTGCATAAACCTTCAAAAGATGAAAAGCTGAAAGAAAGGTTTATACAAACTAAAATGTTTTCTGAAGAGAGGGTCTGGGAGAAAAGAACAGCTCATCCAGATCAGAAGTGTTGTAAATCCCAAGGATACCAACACAGACGCAGGAGGCAAATCTTGTTCTGGTGACGTTATGTTCCTAAATGTGGATATATCAAGGACACAGAACACATAAAGGGAGCAGAGAACAAAAAACTGTTTATTCCATGTTTCCCTGCACAGAAATGTTTAATTTTGCTGTATGGTGAATTCAGTATTGAGTTTTGAAAGACGTTTAAATGAAAATGCAGTAGCCCAGAATGGTGCACCAGCAGAGCATGTTGCCTGGTTCAGGGTGGCCCAGGTAGTGCTGGCTGCATGCAGCACCTCTTCCTCCTCTTAACTCTGGCCATACCAACCCTACAGTGGCAATTTAGGGTTTTGTAGGGTGCCACACTGTCACCCGACACCAAGGGGGCAGACAGGGTCTTTTAGGGATCCTTGTCAGAATGATGACAGCACTAAATTGTAATTACAATTAAAGCTTTATTTTCTTACCAGGGTATTATGATTAGTGTAACACAGAATTTATTAATAGAATGGCACAGGATTTCTACAAGCAGAATCAGTGTAGTACAATCTGTAAGTAGCATAATACAATTAATAATACAATTTATGATTTCTAATCACCTGGACCCTCTGAAGATTGGGTCAGATTTTAATACATGGTTTGCTGCATCAGTGTAACAATCACAGTCTAGCCTCAAAATCATATCAAGAATACGAATCATTCCCTCACCCTCGGAGGAAGCAGATAACTGTGGGGGTGTCCCTGGTGGGGATGTCCCTGGCCACCAGAGGCCCCAGGTCTCACTGTCCAGCAGCAGCTCCTGTCCAGGTTCCCCAGTTTGGACGGTTTGCTTTTACAGCCAGTGCTCTGGGTGCTGTTACGCTTACCTCTTCTGTGAGGGGGTCATCACCACAAGATGGTGCGCCGGGTGCCTGGGACCTTCAGGGCTGGCAAGGAAGGGAGTAATCTAGCTGGCATCCAGGAGTCTTGAGGCCGATAGGGAGGGGAAGAAGAAATCTGTCATGACCCGCTCAATCACAGAGAACGGCTGCTTGCCTTATATGCTAACCACTGAGCAGGGGTCAGGAGCAGGGAGTACCAGTCACACACACCTCTGCAGGACACCTGCAGAACTATCTCCTCTTAGTGTATTGCAAACAAATTACTTTCCTTCCACAAAATCGGTGCTTCTGCTTTACTAAAGTACCTAAAAGACCATTCTGTATATATACATTTGTTTTGATCATGTGCCTAGTGTTACCTTTATGGATGCCCAATGTACACTAGTATCAGTGAAGCATAATCTGGCTCATTAAATAGTTATGAGTTTGACCTCTTTTAGCATACAGTTTTTATACATTTCATATTCTGTAATCACATGCTGTTCATGGAATTAATGTGTTCACATTTTCTAAACACTTGCTGTAAATAAATCCTTTGACTTCTTTTAGCAAGTTTATTTCGGATCGAGAAAGCAGACGAAGTCTCACAAACAGCCACCTGGAGAAGAAAAAATGCGATGAATATGTAAGTATCTCTTGGTGTTCTTTCCCCTGTCAAAATGAACTATTATGTTGTGTATGTGAAGGGCCTTTAGACATGGTCTTCAAAAGTGTTGGGCACACACAGCTGTAAAAAAAAAAAAAAAAAAAAAAAAAAAAGACAAAAAACCCAAGCATTTTGTTCAAGTTGAAGCGAGGGAATCCCTCTGGCCTGTGTTTGGCAGGAAGTCCTGGTGGTTCCTTATGGCCTTATGACATATAAATCATGTACCTTAGATGTTTCACAGGCAGAGTGAAAGATGGGGATTGAAATGACAGGTGTAGTAGGAGTTGTGTATTGCCTCTACCACTCACGTTGGATTCCAAGATCTACAGGACAGTGATGAGAGTGTAGCTGTGACAGGCTTCAGTGATGCTTTTTCCTCTTTTAAACCAATTTTTAAGTCATTTCCATAACAGTAGTTACTTATACCGAATATATCGCAAAACGTATTGAATTACGCTTGAAGCGTAAATGCATTTCCCTGCTCCGTTCCAAGCTGTTGCTGACTTACCTGTCTTTACTCATCCAGATCCCAGGAACTACTTCACTGGGGATGTCCGTCTTCAACCTCAGCAATGCAATCATGGGCAGTGGTATTTTGGGTCTCGCTTTTGCCTTGGCCAACACAGGAATTCTCCTTTTTCTGTAAGTATTCGCACGGTGAGTAGCTGATCTCCATGCAGTTTCACTGCATTTAGCCAATGTGTATGCTGCCAGCAAGGAGAGGGATTTATACTTCATCTGTAATCACATACAGCATTCAAGCCTGAAAATGTTAGCTACAAGTTTCAGACATCTTGTTTTAGTCAGATTTTTTTGGGGGAAAAGCCACTACTTGTAATGCTAGAGCAAATTAAGCCCATGTTATTTACTGCAGACCTGAGCCTAGCCAGGAATTTTTCCTATGGTCCACAAGCCATAGATATATCGGAAATATTCAGTAGTAACAGTTGCAGTGGGATAGTGCTTAGTTCTTACTTGTGTGACAGCATCTCCATAGCTTTCGTCAAAGCATGGTGCAATAACTGCTTTTTTTTTTTTTAACCAAGAAAAAGAATATTTATATTCCTTTATATATTACATATAATATTTTCATCTCACTCCCACAGTTTCTTCAGTTTCTTATGTGAGAGTTCTTGAGAGCCAACATAAATATAGCCAAGATTTTAGTGTAAAAAAAGAGTTGAGGTAGAGTACTTAACTCCAGCAAAAGAGAGGCATTTTGTAAAGGAGAATTTTATAGTTTAAAAATGACACAGTGCCAGTGAATGAGTAAGACACAGTGTTATTCTGTGTTATTCTGAATCGCAATATGAGACATTTCATTGTGAAAAGTGATTGTTGAAAAATCAGTTGGGAATTGTGTGCAGATTTTCAGTGATAAATGTTCATTGAGGGAAGAAATACAGCCATTTACAGTCTTTGAGAACTGTTCAACACGGTTATTGAGATTACAAATTACTCTAAAGAGATGTCATTTCTTGAATGTCATATCTAAAAATCTAGAACTTTTATATTTCTTATGTTTTTGGGAAATATTTAATACGAGCCCATTATATAGCAGAGTGGATAGCCAAAGTGGTACGTATAGCCATCTGCTCTGGGATTTTGTGCCAGGATAGCTACATTCATGCTGCTACCTTAGAGTTTGCTGTGGTTGGATAAAATCTAGGAATAATCCAAGGAGTTAATCCATTTACAGTAATAATGTACAGTGTCTTATAATTGTGTTGTCACTAAGCTAGGCTATAAAGTAGCCAGACTCTAGGTTTTTCTTATGCAGAATGGCTGAGTTTATTTCAGTTTTGCTGCCTTTTTTTACCCATTACTCTTAACCTGGATGTGATACCTATGCCCTGACAAACATACCTCTGACAGTGCAGAGTAGTGGTTGCAAAAACTGCTGTAACCGGGAAAAAAAAAAAAAAAAAAGTTACCTCTCTTCAGCATTGCTACCTCTTCTATGATAATCATGTCTCAGCCAAGGAGCACTCTCAATTTCTCCTTAGTGCTTTACTTTATTATAATCTCATCCTCTTCTTCTTTCAACAGTTTTTCATGAGAGTTAAGTGACATAGGAAACGTGTTGACTCTAAAGGATGTAAAAAGGCTGTTTCTTTTAAGTGAAGTAGACCAGACCAGTGATGTGAACAACCAGAGAAACTTCTAACAACATGTGATGGTGACTGGGCTTGTCTTGGTCTGAGTAGTGAGTGTGTAGATCTGTTACCATCACATTGTATGAAAAGCTGCCAAACCTAAATGTAGAGATATACAGTAAATAACAGAGTTATTCTCCACAGAATTATCTCTGTGTGTTTAAAAGTGGATAATTATTTTTGTTAACTTTATAATGCCTTTAGATCTGGTGGTCTGGAGACAGATCAGCCCACTGAAATCCAAGGTAAGGAAGTTAGCAGGACCTAACTGACCAGGCTAGCAGAGCTCTGTCCCCTTAGAAGACTGGAGATACAGGATCCTAATGTGGTGTCTAGGTCTGTAGTTATGCCTGAAAGTTGAACTGCCTTAATGTTCTTTTATCATGCAATAATCTCAGAGTTAAACCCAGTCTATTAGTATTAGATTTCTTCTGACCCTCTTGTTCAATGCATTTTTCTCATAAATGTATAGTTCTGCTGCTGCTATCACAGGGACATCTTAGAACTATTTCTGCTTTACAAGTGATTAGAGTCCTGGCAGTGTTTTCGTTGCTTTTTGCACATGAGAAAGCACTTAAATTCATTACTGTTGAGTAGCACAGTTCTGGAAAGTTTCTGGGTTGCTTTATCCAGTATTGGCATGCACTATCCCTGAAAAGTAGAAAGCAGAGACAGAAAAATTAAAGGAACGTTTCCAGCACTAACAAAAGAGACCCAGCCTGATTTGCACTCTCACATCTTTTAGGCTCCTGCAGTGTGAAGTGTGCACTGCCATGTACACCTGGATCCGTTTAGATCCTATATTCTTGGCATAGGACACACAAAATAAACATGACAGTGAGTATATATTCTCACATCCTATCTGCATAACTTAGTGCCATAGCAAAGCATCATGCTTTTTAGGCAAAACAATTGAGGTAGGAACTCAGAGGAGTTTACTCCCAGTATTGTTGATAACTGCAGCTTAGATCAGGAGTTCTCAACCTTTCCTTCACCACAGATCCCCTTTAAATACCTTTTGTGGCTGTGGACCACCAAGACTTAATTCAAGATTTAAAGCACTAGACCACATGAAATGTTTATTTCGATTTTCTCATGAAGGGTCTTCAATTTTGGAGAGAAGGGCAAGTAAATTAATCTGTTAATGGACACACTCATAATATCTTTATTGCAATATTTCCATATGAATTTAAAATAAAAGCATCAACACTCTTCTCTGTCAAATAGCCCATTTTATGGTATTTTAACGTGCTAATTCTGAATTTGATGTCAATTTTTACATTAAAATTCTATTAAAAGTTTTTAAAATTCTTCTCACTTGCCCCCTTGTTTGTGTTCAGTCACCATATATTTTTGTTTACGGGTCCAGGGCCACCACTTGGAGGAACAGACTTCAGCCCCGTTGTGGCCCTAAAGAGGGCCATTGGGTTAAGAGAATGTGTTTAAGAGAAAAACTGCCTGGTTAAAGTGGGTCCCTGTGCAAGGTTTAATTCTTGCCGGGTTGAGAGAGCACGTTGCTGTTGCCTCTCCCCCACCCATGCTGGTCGGGTTGGAAGTTAAACACAGACCCTGGCTAAAATAACAAGAAATTTAATACAGCAGAGTGATAGAACAATCTGAACAACAACAGTATCAATGGTAACAACAATAAACAGCAATAACAGTGAATAAGACAAAAGATATACAGAGAAATACCGCTAAATGATCAAGGAGCAAACCCGCCACGTGTATGGCAAAAACCAGCACCAGAAGCGAAAGTGAAAAGGCTCTGCCCCTGGACCTGACATCAGCATGGTATGAATAACCCGGCTGGAGATCCCTTCCCCCTCTCTCTCTGCTGGGGAAAACTTTACTCTATCCTGGCTGAACCAGGACAGTCCCACCAACCATACTAGCACTGAATATACTAGTGCATCAGGGCATGCAGTGGAGGGGGGGCACAGCTTGAGTATGAGAGGAGCATTGAGAGGAGGGGGCTGTGGGAAAAGGAGGTGCAGTACTTTCCACAAGCCAGATCAAATATTTCCAGGCTGGACGTTCCCCACCCCTGCTTTAAGGCTTCACAGGCTCTCTGTGATGACATCGCAGCCACCCAGGGGTCTGTGGACCACAGGTTGAGAAACACTGGCCTAGACCAAAGAAGAGCATCCTTTCCTGTATGCAAAAGGGGAGAAAACCTTGCTACAGAAAGGTGACACAAAAGGCTTGTAAAGTTAGAAATGGACCAGGCCACCTAGGGATGGCAGGAGCACTCATCGCTTCTGTGGTTTCATCCTGGAGAGCCAGGACCAGAGTGATAGATCGTGTTGCAGACACATACGGGCCAGCCAAGTGCAAGGTGCATTCAGCCTGCATTTAGCCCAGCAGTGCACACTATCTGAAAAACCCTGCTGAGTCACAGGGGATTGTTAGATGAAGTACAGTGCAAGATTACAACTGAAGTTTCACACTTCTTTCTGCAGCTGCTTCCTGCTAGGGTTGTCTGGAAACAGTCATGAAGCCACAGCCTAACTCCTCCAGAGGTTTAGGGCAGGTTGGCAGACCGGCCCTGTGGGAGGCTGTATGGTGACAAAGCCCATGCTCTGCCATGCTCTTCTGCACCCTATACCTTACGAGTGTTCAGAGCTGTTCTGTGCAGTGAGGCAGGTGACTGCACGAGCCTTACAGGTCTTCTGGCCCCAGATCCTGGAACTCTACAGAGGGCTGGGGACAGTACGTGTTTCAGCTGATCTGGTAATGTGGCAGCTGGGAGCAAACAGCAGTGGCATCACAGGAACAGTTTGTTCTTCCCAGCACTGTATCAGTCCCCTGCTCTAAACTGTTTATTCTAGATTTGTTGGGGGGAGGTGACTTTTGCGTGTGCCAGTTGCTTGCTTAGCTGCCAGCACTTCTTTAAAAGCAGGCAAAATAAAATTAGGGGAGTGCTCTTGGGACTGCGGCACAAGCTCCCCTGCTTCTGTTTTGAATTTGTGCAGAGCGAGTGGCATGGACATTTTCATTCCTTTCCAAGGGGTGGTTCTGGCACAAATATGCCTGTCCATACCACAGTCCTAACACAAATAAGTTTTTCATACAGCACTAATGAAAATGCCAAGTGTCTTTGTAAGAATCCTATGGGGAGCTAAGGACAACAGATCAGATAAATACCTGGCTGCTTGGGAGTGTTATTTTTACCACTGCAAAGGCTCCATGAGCTCAGTGCTTGAAAAACGGGAGCTTTTAGTAATAAAATAGACTTGATGCTGGCATGTAGAGCCAGAGCCATTTGGGGCTGGGAGTGAGTCAGCCCAGCAGCAGAGCACCCGGGGCTGTGAGCACCATGCTTGCCGGCAGACAGGGGTGTAACAGCTCTGCAGGGAGCATGGGCAGGAGCAGGGCTTAGCAAATCTGGGAAAAATGGAGCAGAGTGACCTCAGCCAGCACAATCTCCCTTCCCTTCTCCACCTTCTCGAAGAGAAACACCCTTTGGGCTGTGCAGAGAGTGTGTTGTTATTGTCAATCATCAGTCTTTGTTGGCAGAAGAGCAGTTCCTCCCATCACCTCTTCATGTTTCTCCCTGCTCCTCTGGCCCCAAGAAACTTGTGGGTTATTATTTGGCGCTGAAGTATTTCTAGTCTAAAATAATAAAAAAGTGGGGGGAGGAGGTTTCTCATCCTGTTCTTTTTATGTATTCCTATGAAAAAGATGTGTTGCAGCTATCTATGGCACCAGCTTGTTTTCTGTTAAATTTTAGGCTTGTTTTTCTAATGTCCCAAGAGTAGTTGTCATAATAAAGAGAGGAATTGCCAGCAGATTGTCTGAATGCTCTTCACACACATCATGAAAACATCATCAGGTCTTTGTGTGTCAGAGTGTTGGACGGAAAGGCACACATGGTGCTTGGCTTAAAGACATAGAGCAATGAGCAAATGTGGTTTTATGCACATAGCCCCCAGCACTGACTAATTATCATTTGTGCCAGCAAGTTCCCTACACAAACAATTTGTTCATTACTTCCTGCAATTCTTCTCCATGAAGTCAAATTATGGGTCATGGCAGACTAGAAGTGACATCAGTGAGGGAACACCAGTCTACCCAGGCAGGGTAAAAGACTGGTTTCTGCCTTTATTACCAAGGGAAGCTAATAGAGCCTTAATTTCCCTTCTCTTCCCCCTCCTTGGGCACTGAGAGACACATAAAAAGGTACTTGGGCCCCGCTTTGGTAGCATATGGAACATATCCTGGGAAAAGATGCTTCCATTTCATACACAAGTCCTTAAATAGAGGACTTCCCTTTGAAATTTTTACTCTGCTTCCAGGAAAAAAAGCTTTATAGAGTGAGTGGTGAGGGACATACTTGGCTCATCCCTGTTCTGATTAAATCTTAATTCCTCTCTGATAAAACATCTTTATTCTTCCTTCTTTCAATGTGGGGAGGTGCAATTCACTGGCAGGCTGTGCTCTGCAGCTCTGCGAAGTTTTACTTGGTTGAATCCCTCTGCATGTAGAGCTTTCTGCCTCCACAGTGATGTTGTAGAACTGCAAACAGCATGTGAATCACATGTATTTTTAAGGGGTTTTGCATTGTCACAAGAGTACAAAAATTATCTTAAAGTCGACAAGAATATGACCTGACATGAAATATTGTGATGTTGGAGCTCAGCTCTTACAATAAAGTTTATTCTCCATTCTTTTGTAGGCTGCTTTTGGTTTCAGTGACGCTGCTGTCTATTTATTCAATATATCTCCTGTTGGTGTGTTCAAAAGAAACAGGTAATTTAAGATGTTATTACACCATTTCAGTAAAATCATAAAGTAGAGGTGAAAAGCATTCAAATAAGGCCAGGTGCTTTGTGTAAGATGGATTTTCTATCACTTTGCTGATACAATAGAAAGACCTAACACATTTTGAGTCAGAAGCCCAGAATTAACAAGCATTTATGACATGGCAATGGAGAACAGCATCTGACCATCACTATAAAGAGAAAAACTTAGGACAAACAGTGAATTCTGCTATCATGAAATGTTGCCTTCAGTGAGCTAGAAGGAACAGCTCATACAATTTCTCTGCATTACAAAACCAATTGCAAATGGAATATAATGAACCTTTGCCTATGGTGAAGCTTACATGAAAATACAGTTTGTCCTTAAAGGTTAGCGTGAAGTTCCTAATAGCCTTTGTGGTGTAGTACAAGGTTTCCTAGAAGAAAATAAAAGGGAACAGTTCCTCCACAGAGAGAAGCGTATCTGTAAGCAAAATATATCCTAAACACAGAAATTAGAAGTTACCCACAGTGTTAAATGTCACTGTGCTCTGAAGTCCAAGAGTCTCTTTCCTTGGGTAACAATCTCTGAAGATAGATTTTTAAAATTATCTGTGCACAAGAACATGGTAATATATTAATATGTGATTTGGACACACATGAGTTACTGTTATATCATGTATAATGGCAACAACTGCCTATTTAAATTAGGCACGTATGCCTAATTGTGGACACATTTGTGCCCTGTTAGTTCCCAAAATCTAAGCCCTGGTTTTATGCCACTGGTACATTTAAGCTTAAACTTATTTTTTATACAAGCTTCAAAGCAGAAATGTCAGCTATAAGGAAATACAGAGAAAACCAAACAATGGCATGCATTTTAAAAACCTTCTGTACATTGTAACATCTGCAATATTTCTCTTTCTGTTCTCATATATCTCACCATCTTCATAATGTCCAGTCTTGTTCTCAGCCTAAATCACAGCCAAGGAAAAAAACATTTAACAGAAACACGAACCAATTAATAGAGGATTTTCTCAAGCTTGACGGATATTTTAAAAGAACTTTTAGTTATAATTTACACCTTTCCCTGCTTTTACCAAAACCATACCACACTGAGAATTCACGTTAAGTCTTCGCCATTAGAAATTGTAAATCATCCTGTAAACCAGTGGCTGCCCACATTTAGATTGTTTAGTCAAGGTAAGCAAAATTGCAGAATCACAGTACTGTGTCTTCTGTGGCCAGGGTGCCAGTGCTGACTTGTGGATCCTGCTGTACCAAATTTTGTCTGGAGAGGAGGCTTTCGACGTCACTCTCATTGTGGGTGCAACCCTAATATGCCAGGATGCGGATACCAGAATTTAACTTGTCACTAGGGGTATAGACAAACTCATTAAAGGGGTGTAATAGCTTCATTAAGAGCTTCAATTTCAGAAGTGACCAGTAGCCAACGATAACATTTATAGACGTCAAGAAAACATTCCTAAATAAGTCTCAGCCCTAGTAATTACAAAAGACCTCTCTATTTGCTTGCAAAGGGCAGATATGGCTGCACAGATGGGTGGTTAGCTGAAAAAGAATCATAAGTGTTCCAACTCAGTGGCTTTCACTGCTGTGTTTGTTACCTTTCGTCTCATTTCTTTTCATGCAGGCTGCATGGTGTATGAAAAGCTGGGTGAGCAGGTCTTTGGTACCCCAGGGAAAATGATTGTCTTTGGATCTACATCTCTCCAGAACGTCGGAGGTAAAGGAGATGAGGGATATTGAAAAACAAAACACAGGAACATCTTAGTAATGTTACAGCTACCAACCAGACAGTTTGTCCTCTCAATAACATCTTGGGATCTTCATGCCCCTCAGTATAGCTGTGGCTAATAACTTTGCACGCAGCCCTTTAAAAATGCTGTATTACCAAATGATCAGTCTACAGTCAGTTATAGTTCAGGGTCTTCTGTCATCAGACACTGATGTGCAAAAAGGTTCAGGATGCTTCTCTGTACTTGTTCTGCAAAACATCTTACCTGTTTTCTAAACTGACTTTCTTCTTCCTCCAGCAATGTTGAGCTATCTCTTCATAGTCAAAAATGAGCTGCCTTCTGCCATAAAGTTTCTAATGGGAAAAGAAGAATCTTTTTCGTAAGTTGTATTAATTTTGGTGATTAGATTATAGAATTTAATGTTATGTAGGTAAGTTTAAGCATATGTTTATAAAAGCTCTTAAGTGTTGAACATTCTTTAGGTTTGTCAAAATAGATTTTCACATGAATATCTCAGGGGTTAATAAAAACCAAGACAGCTTTGGGAAGGAAAAGAGGATGGATAGGAAATGAAACATTAAATCATCAGTAGTTACTCTCTTTGGACACCAGATTTTCATGAAGAATTGTGATTTATACAAACCTTACCATAGAATCCAATCTTTTACAGCACTTGAAGATACTGGAACACTGCAAGTTTATTATGTATTTCCCTGCATTCTTAGCATCTTGCAGGATTTTTCCCCTGAAGCACTGTTCATAGTATTAAATTCTTTGATAGTAGTATATGACAACAGCAGAATATTACACTTAGATTCCTGACATTTACCACTCCTTGACATTTACCAGCTTCTTTAATAGAGGGGTGCTGTTTCTTTATAGCAGTAAATATCCTTTGTACTGGGTTGTATGGTATTCTGTAGTGCACAAGAAGAAGGTAGAGATCCCATTCCTCAGGCTTTCATACTAAATTGGACCGAGCAGTGGAAATAGGTCATACAGAATGTCACTAACACTGTCCCTTCTCCCCTTTCTTGCTTTCCACCAGGATTCAAAGCACTTTGCTAGAAGGAGATGCAGCCTTGGGCTGGCTAGTGAGTGCCAGCCTGTGGGATCTTGGTTTGCCACTCCAGGCACGTGCCCGGGTGGTTTAGCAAACAAATCACAGTGGCTTCCCCTGCCTCACTGTGTTGTATGTGTGGCCCTTCGCATGCTCTTTCCTCGTCCTGGCAGGGTGGCTTATATCAGGTTACGGAGGGTGTTGTTCTGCCTGTCAGTCCCACTCACTGATCTCAGCAGTAGGATGATATTTTGTCTATGAAAAACTGTCGCATCTGAGTCAGGGAAGTTTTAAAGGCTGGCTACTTAAGGAGTTTACAAAGTTTAGATGTGTCCCCCATTGCTGCTTTTGTAGGAGCTTGTAGGGTAAGACCCAAGATAGATCTGTAACTGCAGCAAAGAGGATGATGACTGAGTGTGGGGAAAACCAGAGAGGGTTTAAGGTGTGCTCATGGTGGCTTTTTTTAATGTTTTATCCAGGGCATGGTATGTGGATGGGCGGATTCTTGTTGTCACAGTGACGTTTGGTATAATCCTCCCTTTATGTCTCCTTAAGAACTTAGGTAAGATGCAAATGCCTTTGTGGAATAAAATAAAGGACCCCAGACATCATGCCATTGACAGCAACACTGGCCACTCAGCTGTGATAAAAAAAAGTCCTCTCCTAATCTAAGCAGCCTCCCTGGTCCAGGAATAAGCTGTGTTTTGCACATCTTGGAACAAGTAGGCCTAAATGGTCACAGCAGTTGAACTCAGTATAAACCAGCTTCATCCATACAGTTGTGGAAATTGATTTTTAAAATTATACTTAAGAGGGGTTTAATTTCATAAGGCAATACTATTTTATGTGTAGCCCATAAAAATAAGCTCAAAAATGGTGAGAGTACCAAAAATAACTTATTTTTCTATCAGCATCAAAATTTTTAGTGGTGGGGTTAATTGGAGATAATGGAATAAAATTTGAAGTAAAATGCGTATAGAAAACTGCATTTTCAAATGTGTTTGAGTTCGCAGAGATGCCAGTAGGTACACAATGTATTTTTTGAAGCCATGTAACAAGTTTTAGCACTGAAGTCCTGTTGGGTTCTTCCTTTTGAGGAAATAATCCATACTCAGCTGAGATGGCTCACATCAGGGAATCTGGGTCACGTTCTGATTGCAATTATCACAGACCCTTTCAAATGTAAAATTAGTTAAACTGCCATAAAGGTGACCTTTGGGAAGCCAAACCGGTCAGAGCAAAGTTCAGGTCTGTCTTCGAGACGGGAGGCTTGCAACATGGGAGACTCCCACACCAAGAGGACATGCTTTTGTCCTTCCAGAAGCTCATGATACATATTAAATGTATAATACATTTAAACTTCTCATGAGGCAGCAAAAGGAAGTGAAAACTAAGATATGGCTAATAAAATAATTTTGTATGAGATTTCCTTTTAATTTCTTCCAGGGTATCTTGGCTATACCAGTGGATTTTCATTAAGCTGCATGGTATTCTTCCTGGTAGTGGTAAGTTCACCCTGCATTCTTTGTTGGATGAGAGTCACTTGATAGGATATTCACAATTTCTCTGATGTTTTAATATTAATTTGATTTTTATTATTATTTTGAACAATCAGCTGTCTTCTACTCTTATTCTAGGTTATTTACAAGAAGTTTCAAATTCCCTGTGGTGGATCGGAGCTAAATGCAACATCATCTATTCTGTCAAATAGCTCAGCACATGAACATATGTGTAAGCCAAAGTATGTTATCTTTAATTCCAAGGTATGTTTCTTTTTATAATACTTATTTTTAATTCCCATAATAAATGCACCTACACCCCATGTTCTTAATCCAGTCAGCACCACATAGGGCCTGATTCTCCATGCTTCCACTCATGCTCCAATGGTGAATACACAATGGGTCTCCTCGCCCAGTCTTACAGAGATGCTGTGCTGAATGTACCTCCTTGCGGTTTTGCTCTGCCCTGGTAGTAGATGTGCTAAAGCTCTGAGCCTGAGCTACCACTGGACAACTAATGCTTTCCTTGGGAGAGTTTTCCTTTCCACTGCTTCTTACTATCTGTACTGCAACTGCGCCTTTAGGCTGTAGTTCAGCAGAGGCTGAGTAAGCCATTCCTACACCACAGAATCACAGAAGTAATCCCTCCATCCTTCTGCACACAAATCACTTCTTTGTGACAGGGTACGTGTTTCCATAGCCATATGGTGAATTGGATTGTGAAAATGATACAGCTGAAAGCTAATCCAGCAAAAATTTTATTGCCTTTCAGCTGGATGCTTTCCTCCATCGCCACACAGCTGCAGGAAAAGTTGTACCAAGAGAATGCAAAAGAGCAACTGGCTGTAGCTGTGGGAGCAGGAGGATTGCTCCTGTCAGCTGTGCTGGGGCGCAGTGCTCAGTAGGCAGCGCCTTATCTAGCAGGACAGGGTCCTCAGGGTGTCGCAGTCGCATTCATAGGTAATGCGCCTGTATAGCATATGTGTGCAAAAATTTAATTTTTTTAAATTCATCCGACCAGCTTCAGTTGAGGAAGCCAGTCTGAACACTTTTCTGTAGTTAGTGGTAGCCATCAGCCCAGATCTGGTGTGACAGACCAAGAATTAGTTAACTTGATGTGCAATAGCAGCGTAAGTGTAGGTATATTTTAGACAGCATTGAAGGGCAGCCTTCTCCTACAGTAAGTGTCAGCATTCGCCTCAGAGCCAGTGGAGACCTATCAGAAGGGTTGGTCCATCTGAATTAGGCACAGTGGAGCTGAACATTACAGATTTGCCCTTGGGGCCAACAGTTTGCCAGTCATGTTAGCAACTTTGGTGTGTGAGAGGAGACACAGTTTCACAGAATCAGAGGATGGCTGAGGTTGGCACGGGCTTCTGGAAGTCAGATGGTCCAATCCCTCTGCTCAAGCAGGGCCACCTAGAGCCAGATGCCCAGCACCATGTCCAGGCAACTTCTGAATATCTCCACAGATGGAGACTCCACAACAGTAGCATGCTGTGAGTGAGGGAGAAGAGGCAGCACAGGCCTGGGTGAGGAAGGACTTCTGGAGAGCACTCAGTGTATTTACTGACAGTCAGGCCTGGGGCGTAGCCCAGGACAGCATCTGTGGGAAGGGGATGCCTCTGGCCAGTGTGAGCAGATCTCAGAGGGCCGAGGAGAGCTCCATGTAGGGATGGACTCATTTTGTCCTTGCAGGAGGACCTGTTTTTGTATGATCTCTGCTCATACCCATTCCCCGAGGAGAATGGAAGTTCCTGAGCGCTGAGATCATTTGTGAGGTTTGGCTGTACACTGAGGACTGAAACCCACTCAGGTTTTTGTTGGAGAAGGGGGTGAGGTCCCCCCCTGGAGACCTCCTGTGCTTCCTGGTGACGTAACAGTCTCTCTCTTTCCCCAAGGAAAAGTATGCTCCCTCCACACCCTCCTAGCCCTTTTGTTGGCCTGGGAAATGAAGGGACTCAGTCTGGTACCTTGAAATATACATTTATTTGTAAGTTCTGCATTCCTCTTCTCTTTTCTTACAGTCTGGATATGGGCTTCCTCTTCAGGACTTCAGCCTTAGCACCATGGGTGCGCACCCCTCTCCATGCCAAGGCAGGGTAGCGTAGCGGTGACCCACCATACATCCCCTTTATGCGTGACGGTGTGTTAGTAATGGTGACAGTATCTGGGCAGGGAAACCCATCCCAGGGAGCAAAACCAGAAGCCATGTGGTGTCCAGTGCTGCACTCTGTGAGCAGAGTCAGGATTGTGCTGGCACGACCAATGTGAAGACTTTGTCCTCCCGTTGAAAGAGCACTGCTCTCCATATTTCATTAAATACGTGCTAACTGACAGGTCTTCTGCCTTCTCTGAAGGCTCTCAATGTTTGGTTGAAGGGTCCAGAGAGTTGGGAGCTGAGGTAGTTGAACACAGATCATTTCTTCACGCCACTGGGGGAAATACTTCTTCTTAACTTCTTTTCTGAAATTCTCTCCAAACAGACTGTGTACGCTCTGCCCACCATTGCTTTTGCATTTGTGTGCCATCCATCAGTCCTCCCGATTTACAGCGAACTTAAAGAGTAAGCCTTTCTCTTTTTTTTCCCCAGTTAATTGTTTTGAACTGCTTTACAGGGAAAATGTTAGAGCAGAGGTACTCTGAGTCATTCATGCCATTCAGAGGAGATGTGCTTTAGTAACACCCAACAAGCCAATGAGCATAGCTGTCAGCTAGGAAATCTGGCCTCCCAGGCGTGCGGCTGGGGCGGGGATGAGGGAAGTTGAGGATAATGCAATACTTTGGGATTCTTTTCTCTGGAAGTACACGGCAGCCTGGGGAGAGCCAAGTTGTGCCGGTTGTTATTTGGCATAGGAGAGAGGCATGTGTTCAGCTAATGGTGTTTGTCCCAGTGAAACTAAAAATCTGTTGCAGTACCAGGGAAAAAAAGTACTTTCAGACTCGCCTGTACTCAAAGACCTTTCCCCATACAGCTGTCTCGCTGACACCTCCAGCTGGGCAGGGCTGTGGGGAGCTGGAGACCAGCCCTGCTGCGACATCACTGGCAGCCCTGGGGGGCTGCAGTGGGGTCCTGAGCCATGGGGGGAGCCCCATGGGAGAGGACGGGGTCAGTCAGATTCATGGGTGCCCTCAGGTCCCAGCCACTTGCTGGGTGCTTTGAGTTTCAGGTGACTTCAGCAGGTTCCCAGGTGCCTATTTAGGGCATCCCTGTGTGGATTTAAAAGTCTTAAGTTTAGGTACTGGAGTGTGAATATTTCAGAACAAATAGCTAAAAATGAAATGTTTACACTTAACTTGTTTTACAGGTCTGTAGTGGTCTGCATCATTCATTATCTTCTACTCATGAGGACACAGATATTTCTCTGCAAACATTCAGAATGTTTTCTTTTTCCCTCTGTACAATTTTACTCTTGCTTTATTTTGACCTTTTAATTTAATTACTAAAGTGTTTAAGGGCCGTCCCTCTCCTCTCAGCTTCACCTTCATTCTGTTTTAAGTGGGTGCGGACAGTGACCAGAGCCACAGGGCCGACCCACCATTTCTTGACTTAAACCCCAAGTAGGGTCTGTTTCCCCAGCTCTTCTCTTACTTGTGCAGCTGTCAATTAATTCCTGTTTCAAATGAAAATGCATTCATGAGTCTTCCCAGAATTAATATGTTTATGCAGAGACTTAATACATTTTTAAACAGGCATTGAAAAATCCAGCCCAACCATTTTTATGTGTTCTTTTTTTCTTCTTTCTCCAGCCGTTCACAGAAAAAAATGCAGTTGGTTTCAAATATCTCATTTTTTGCCATGTTTGTGATGTACTTTATGACTGCCATATTTGGGTATTTGACTTTCTACGGTAAGTATGCAGTTCTTTACTGATCAAAGTAGAAAGGGAATAAATGTGAAATCAATAGCATATTCCAGCTGGAACAGAAAGTCCCATCCACTTATATTAAAATACTTTTTCAAATAATTTTTCTTAAAGCTTTCATAGTGAGGTACAAATCTTTTCTTCCTTTCCCCCTGTGGATGAAAGGCACAAATGAAAGTATTATTTGCAAAAGGCATATTCAAAATATGAGGGAGAGATTTGTTTAATAGAATTGGGGATTAGGTGGGCCCCACTAAGATTTTCATTCCTAGGTCCTCAGCTGAATGTTGTGTACGATGGTAATGACTGAAGTGTGCATATCTGCATAAAATGAGACAGATTTGAGAGCAGTCCTAGGAAATGAGTATCAGGTCAGCCACTGCAGTTTTTTTCTCTTTTTTTTTTTGACGCTTTCATATTAGAGGCAAAGGACCAAATATTCTCCCTGTCTCCCTACAGCTGACCCCTTCAGGTCTTGATTAAATAAACTGGCAGTGAAGGTGGGGAAGCTTCGTGTGTTGTCCCAGTTCAACTGCCAAAGGATGGTTATTTCAGTGTCTGAGACTTGCACCCTGTCTCTTTTCATGCATATCAATTCAGTTAAAGAAACAAACAAATTATGCTGTATTGCTAAAGGGTACAACATGTATGCCCTAAAGTAGGATAAAATATGAATGTTGCCCAGGAAGCTACTCCTATGTTCCTGTGTAATGGGAATGTTGAAAAGGAAAAAGGCTTTTTCCGTGAACCCTTAGGAGGTTACAAGACACATGACAAAACAGATGTTTGCCTTTTACCTCAGAGTCACCAAAAGGTCATCATTGTTTTCCACCCTATTCCAAGTGACCTTTTTGTTAAAATCTCCTGGTTCATGATACTGTTCCTTGCGAGCCATGTATTGCAAGAGAAAGAAAATAAGTAAATATGAAATGTGGCATTTTTTTTCAAAGGTGTACCTATCTCATATTTGTTTTCTCAGGCTCTCATTCTGATTATGAGGCCTTGAGTCTGCATGCACTGAAGTAACTTGAGGTCATCTGTTCTAATTTTCCAATAAAACCGCAAATACGCTGCAAGTGACAACAGCAACAGCCATTCTCATCCAACTGCTCCTGTTCAACACATTTTCATAGAAATGCATCAAATTAGCAGCCCCAGGGAGCAAGTGGGTGTAAATCAGCATGGACCCCTTCGCTTTGGCAGGGAGGAGATTCTGATGTGATTGCCCCAGGGATCTGAGGAGGCAGATCCGTGGCGCTCCTCTCTGGGAATCTCCCACACCCCTCAAGGACGAGGGTCTGGAGTCCATGGAGGAGGTAGGGGCTGCGTCCTTCTGGCCCTCCCAAGGGGGAATGGTGGAGGAATCCCTGGGGTATTTCATGTGCCTCTCCCCACATCAGGTGTCCCTGCTACCCAGCGCCAAGAGCCCGCGGGCGGAAGCTGTGCAGCTCTGCTGGGGCTTCTGCAAGGGTCAGTGCCATGACAGGCAGCAAAAAAGACACCGAGGGAGTAAAAAATTCCTCCACTTTGATCCTTCTTCCCCTTGAGACTGACAAGACCTTACCTTTCATATGTTCACTTACAGTTTTCTAACCCTCTTCTCTACCCTTACCTGGGTAAGAACAGCATTTTTATTGTGGCCATTTCTTCTTTACACCAATAATACTTGTCTGTTTGCTGTGTTCTCAAAAGTGTTGCAGTGATGACTATATTTACATTGCAGAATTACAGAAAAGAGGTGTTTTTCTTCCCCTAAAAGGTCACACTGTGGTTGGGCTCTGTGGTGTATCTAGCTGAAAGGAAAACAGACCTTCAACTGTAAGCCTTGCCCTTCACTTCCTACCTGGCTGCAGTCCGTGAGCGGTACAGAAGTTGCAGTCTGTGCTTGCAGGAGCAGAGTAAGCTCTGTGTCGCAGAAGCTGTGCATGTGCCCGGCTTGAAAACCCCACTCCTAATCTGCAGGGAGGTGGGAGAGCATTTTCTTTCTCCTGGTGGGATTCAAGCACTGCATAGGTGGTGTTCACTGGTGGTATCTCCCCAGAAAGGTGTCCTGGGGGAGCGCACACATTTTGCTGCAGGACAGATCCCTCTGCCTCCAGGAATACATGAGGTTTTACCAAGTGCCAGAGATTTTAAATTAGTTGTGGCTACCGAGTGCCCTTTAAGGACTTCAGTTTAAGAGCTGTTATGTTTTACCACCAGCTTTCTAAGATTAGCAGGCAGAAACAAAACATGAGCCTAAAAAGGGGCAGCAAGTATGTTTTGTGGTGCACTTAAACAGATGCCCCCTTAGGTTACTGCTCGTACATATTTAAAAGTTAACAAAGCAAACACGCTGGTCCCTCAGCAACTTGGTTTTCCTGTTGGTTAGCACACACAGACCTGCTCTGCACTATTTATCATAGCTTCAAGGAAACATTTTTGCAGGAGGTCATACTAAAATATCGCCAATGCCTCCCCATTAGACACCCCCCCATGATTTGTCTTGGCCGCTGGGGCCGCTGGCCGGCGCAGGGCTGACCTGCAGGCACTGCGATGGGGATGGCAGGTTCAAGAGAAAAAAACATCAGGGCAGCCCTCAGAGGAGCTGCCGAGGGATTTGAGTGCAGATGTCAGAATGTCCCACTGAGAGCTGACCCGAGACAGGCTTTATTCTTGGTTGAGAACAGGGACACTGCTTTTTGCTGGAAGTTTATTTGCTGTTTAGACTAATTTAGCTCAAGACCTTGTAGTTTATATTAAGATCAGCCATTGCAGTGCATGTGGTTATTTTTATATCATTTGAAACTTTTTTAAAAAAGCCCATGGAACCAATTAGAAATAGCTTATTTCACTTTACTTATTTTTTTATATATGTATTATTTGTAAGCAAGCTTTTGTGTATGTCTCACTGTTGTCTTTCCTACAGTGAAAATTACCTTAGACTTAGGCATGTGCTGTCTTGAATTAGGATGCATTCCTAAATCAGACCTCCAAAGGATTAATCTGGAATAATAGGATCTTTAGGATTTGGTTCAAAGCACTGTTTTAACTCAAGAATGTTTCATTCCATACTCTTTTGTTTGCAGATAAATCACTTGTTGTTCAAGAAGGCTGTTGTTAAGCAATGATTTTTGTGAACTAATTGCCTGTTAGCCAGAACACTTACCTTATTGTCTTTTCCATAGACAATGTGCAGTCAGATCTTCTTCACAAGTACCAGAGCAAAGATGACATCCTCATCCTGACCGTGCGCTTGGCTGTGATTGTTGCGGTGATACTCACGGTGCCGGTGCTGTTTTTCACTGTAAGTAAAAAGCTCCACACAGTTTGGAAGTCGTAACATCTCTACACAGTGTGTTTCCTCGAACCACAGTCCAGCAGTTGCTGAGACAGTGATGTTGCAGCTACAAAAAGAGCTTGAGATTGGATCAGTCTTTTCCCACACCAGACTCCCACTAACTTCTGGAGAAGTTCCCCCTACAGGAAATAAGTCACTTTTGGTCTTAAATCTGTTTTAAACTGAATCCACAAGGGCCCCCTCTTACTTCACATTACTTCTCTGGAGCAAGCTCAGAGGTGAAGTTCATTTTTAGTGCAGAAGGATCCCAAGAGTCATGTTGGAAAGAGAGGAATATCCTACTGCAGTTTTTACAGAGTCACAGAATCGTCTAGATTGGAAAAGACCCTGAAGATCATCCAGTCCAACCATTAACCTAACATTGATAATTCCCAACTACACCATATCCCTCAGCGCTATGTCGACCCGACTCTTAAACACCTCCAGGGATGGGGACTCCACCACCTCCCTGGGCAGCCCATCCCAACGCCCAACAACCCATTCTGGAAAGAAATACTTCCTAATGTCTAGTCTAAGCCTTCCCTGGTGCAACTTGAAGCCATTACCTCTTGTTCTATCACTTATTACTTGGTTAAGAGACTCATCCCCAGCTTTCTGCACCCTCCTTTCAGGTAGCTGTAGAGGGCGATGAGGTGTCCCCTCAGCCTCCTCTTGTCCAGACTAAACACCCCCAGTTCCCTCAGCCGCTCCCCGTACGACCTGTGCTCCAGACCCTGCACCAGCTTCGTTGCCCTTCTCTGGACACACTCGAGTCATTCAGTGTCCTTTAGTGAGGGGCCCAAAACTGAAATATCAAGTTTTGAAATATCGGGTTCATTTTAAGGATTATTTCAAAGGATATTGCATCAGAGAGCCCAGAATTTCTGACAGAACTATGCAGCACGTCATATTAAGAACCTGTTAAAATAAACCTGGGAAGCTTTGAATTGCCTTATAGACTATTTTTGACAGAGAACTCTCTCTTCCTACAGGTGCGTTCATCATTATTTGAGCTGGCTAGAAAAACAAAATTTGACTTATGCCGTCATGTTTTGGTTACTTTTGTTCTTTTGGTTATCATCAACCTGTTAGTCATTTTTATCCCAACCATGAAGGATATTTTCGGAGTCGTAGGTACAGTATCTTGGTTTTGTACTACCAATAAAAGACTGTTGCTAATCAGCAACAACAATGATCAGCTGTTGCTGACAGCTAACAAAACTCATTTATTTGAATTTTGCAGGTGTCACTTCTGCCAATATGCTGATTTTCATTCTTCCTTCATCGTTGTATTTAAAAATCACACAGCAGGATGGATCAAAGTTGACTCAGAGGATTTGGGTATGCATTCCTTTCCCATCAATGCAATGCTTTTGTCATTCCTTATAATGTGCTAGATGCAAAGCATAACTAATCTGAACATATGTGTGAGCTTCTTTAAGTTACTTTCCCTCATTGCTTCAGCCAGTTGGCAGCCCTGCTTGCCCTACTCCTTTGCTTACCCAGTAGAGGGGCCGTCCATGGAGGGCACCTTGTGTTCTGGGGGGCCCTTCTCTGCAGTCGAGGGGCTCTTCCTTGGCTGGCAAGCAGCAGCTCTGCAAGCAGCTGTAGCTGTCAGCAGGGTGCGGGTACCCCTCCAGCCTGTTTCAGTAAACCTTTCAGCCCAGCAAGCTTCCTTCGTTACAGATCCAGAGAGCATGCAAAGCTCTCTGTGCTACTTCTTATGGTTTAATAAGTCAGACTTAGGGATCTTCCCCCAGAAGCAGCCAGCTGAAATGTTAGCCCTTTGGCATGCATGAGCAGATGGGAGTGGGCCTTGGAAAGATTTCCTGAGCCCCAGGAAGAGCTGCAGCTGAAAACATGCCACACTGTTGTGTATTCCCAGTCTAATGGGGCGTGCACTGGAAGCATCGTAAGGTCAGACCTTCCTGCTCTGAGCAGGCAGGAAACCTGTGTTTCACTTGTGGCTCCATCCACAGACCCCAAGGCAAAAGAGCTAAACTTTGATGGACATGTATTCGATGGGAAAAGTAGACTTATTTCCATGAGGCTTTGAAAAGAGCAGAACCAATTGGTCCACTCACTTAATCCTCTTTAGTGATGATCAGTGTTTAAGAAGTGAATTGAAAGAAGAAAAAAATTGGGTTTGGAGTTCAGTGAGTATTAATGATGCTAATCTGTTTAATTATCTATGGGTCTTGTCTTTACCAGAAATGCTATCCCATTTTAGTTGATAACTTTGATACATCACCTTGTAAATCTCCTTAAGAGGAGAAGTTAACATACATGAATTAATTGTCTTTTCTTTTTAGTCATTACTTTTCTCTCCTTTTTGTTCCAGGCTTCTCTTTTCTTGGCATTGGGGATAATGTTTTCCTTAGTGAGCATTCCCTTGGTCATCTATGACTGGGTACAATCAGGAGGCAGTGCTGAAGGCCACTGAAGTTCACCTCCTTCTGAAGACACCCCTGTTTGCTACACACCAAAATCACAACCATCTGTTCTCTTATCTATTCCATCTTTTGTGAGTTTACTCAAATCAAATCCAAATAATGATTATCCAGTACTGAAAATACTGTTATGGGTGTATTTTCTTGCAGAAAACAGACCCATTTTTCTAACAGGCATATCACTCTGCCCCCAGTACTGAGTTATCAGATCAGCACTAAGTCTGTGTTAATTGTCTGTGAGACTATCTAGAATGTTGTTCATAGAAATTCATCACAATTAATTTGTTTCCCCTCTTCCACCCATGAATTACATTGTTCTGTTATTATCCTTAGCCCTTCAACCATAAGCTCCGCTCCTTTAGGGCAGCAGCGCCTGTTGTTATCAATACCAACTCGAGAGATGTCAGTTCACACCCTTCCCCACCCCTGTCTTTTAGCCAAAACTCTGCTCTCCAATTGTACACATCTGGTTTGGTTTTTGTTCTGTTGCTGTTTTGTGCACCATTTCCTCACTGGGTTAAGCGTACCACTCTGGATACAGTCACAAAAGGCACCATGAACATAAATGAGTGTTGTATAAGCGTAGGTCCTAAATCTGGTACTTCTCTGTAGTGTTCTGGTGGATGAGTTAGTTTTAGGGCTTGGCCTTTTTGTGGCTTCGGGTGTAGACCCATGTGTGTGTGTGTGTGTGTGTCTTTGTGAAGAGGTGCAGGGGGAGGACAGCCTCCACCATCAGCCACCGTTCCCCTGGCACACTTCAGCTGGACCCTGACCAGAACTGGATCCCAGACCACGAGTACTTGAGTCTGAAGAGCTGCAGACGCTTGGAGATTTCCATAGGAAGTCTGCATTTTCTTCAGCATTAAACTGTTTACTTATGCCCCACTTCTCTCAGAAAAAAAAAAAACAAAAACAAGCTCCAGTTTGATTAAAACCTAGACATATAATAATCCCTCATGTCTTTTCCATTCTGGGATTCATTTGTACATACCTTCTAGAGGCTGGCTCCTTTCTTGCATCTTACGCTCCTCCCACTGAAGTCAGCGGGTTTTGGCAGCAGAAGAAGCAGGATTCGACTCACCCTGCCAAACTACTGGATTTCTAATGGAAATTGAAATCTGTAACATTTCTTTAAACAGAAACACTTTTTATATTTAAAATGTTTCATTTACATTTCTCATCCATTCTCCATAAAAGACATCTAATTACTACTAGCAGAAACACTGTAACTTGCACCTGTTGTCCACAAAATAAGCATTTGCCTATTGCCTTATAGCTGGTGAGAACTACTTGTAGAGACTCAAAACGCTAAGCAGGTGATTGCTAATCATCCTGAGCAGACATCTTCTATTAGTGCACTGCCAGCAGCATAAACATGTTCACTTTGTGTCATTCACTCAAAAGTGTCTCAGACCTGGCTCCCATTGAAAGAACCAATGGCTAAAGGGAGGCCCGCATCACACCCAAGGGTTGAGTGATGCCCTCGGTACGCTCGAGCCATTCCTGTCAGTATGCAGTGACCCTCTTGTTCCCAGTAGCTGGTTCATTTCTGACTCCCATTGTAACTGTGGAAGGAGACTGTCATCAGCTGTGTGGAACCTGTCATTGCAGCTTGCTCTTTTTAAGGTTAGGGTTGTAGAATTCAGAACTTGAGATTTCTGTGAGCTGTTGAATAGCCTCAATTGCCATTGCCTTGTCCTGCATGGCTTGAAGTCACTGAGAGTTGAGACCACAGAGCACTTCTCAGGACCTTGAAAGTTGGTTTCTACAGGTAACATCCAGAGAGGTTAATTTGGGGCCTTCCTTGGAATTTGGGCATCAAGATGCAGTGTTCATGCTGCAGAAAGTAAGCCTGTTAAACCCAGACTTCTAGATCTGTACCTCAGCCTAGGCAGTAAGGTACCCAGCTCTGCTCATACTCCACCAGGATCCAGAAATAAGGCAGAGTGGACACCGCAGGCTGCCCAAGTCCTTGGAGTAGCCCAGCAGCAAGAATGAAATTGGAAGGCTCCTCACTCTGGGCAAGGTGACCTGCTAGACTCCAGTGCAGGGTTTCCTTACTGTCTTTTTCCTGGCCCCTCAGACCTTCACTCACAGGCTCCGAGCAAGGTCTCCGGTGTGGTGTCCTGCCCCCCAAGCACCCCTCAGCCCAGTATTTAAGGCACGAACTGCTGAGCTACCCAGGACCCCTGGGCTAAGGTCATGTGTGCTCTCCTGCAACTTGTCTCAAACCTTTGCTGCAGTGGTGTAGGTCACCAGTTCTCTGCGCTGTCTCTTTACAAGACTGATCCCTGCCTCTATTCACAGAGAAGTCCATACCATAACTTACAAGCCCGGGTGTTGGTCAGGCTCTGAAGAGAAGAACCTATGCTTGGTTCCTATCTCCTCACAGCACATTCCAGGCATCTTCCCAGCTCGGGATGTAAGTTTGTGGCACCTCTTTTGCAGGCACCCAACCCTCCTGCAGCACTGCAGCAGGAGCCCAGCATATCATTCCATTCTCTGACTCAGCTTGATGGGGTCACATTTTCAGGTGCCTTATAATCTCTCTGGATCTTATTCTAAAAAAACCTAACTCACACCTGAGAACACTGTAGTGTTATCCTCAGGATGCTCCAGGGCTCTCCTGCTTTCCTTCCTCCTTTATCCTTCTACTACTGATTTGTGAGCAGTGCAGCTCTGTGCATTGTGAGGTTGTGAGAGAGGAGATCCTGTGAGCAACTTTCAAGGGACAAAGTATGAGCTAGAGGTCTGATCTGCTGCACAGGGTCTCAGCAAGGTCACAACTGCGACACCTCCCTCCCCAACCTGCGCCACCCCCACCCCTGCCCCCATAGTCTGCAGTCTCATGTTTGAAATACCAACCACTGAGTTTTGGCACCCAGCTTCCTTCGACTTGAAGGGCTGTTGAATGACTGATTGCTCCTTGCATCTTCCCAGATATCTTCCATTACTACCCATCTGACTCCTCTTTGCTATTCTGCTTTCTTTTTCCCAATTTATTTGTATTCTGGAGTTTTACTGGATAAATAGGGAGAAGAATGAGCTGGGTGTGTGCATAGAGTGAAGTTACCCAATGTAGTGGACCATCAAAGCATATCTTAGATACTAAAAAATAGATACCCAAAATACTGAGTCTTTAAACAGACTTTATTTCTGGGTCTCTGAAAAAAAAAGAGGGAATTTTGCTTAGACTGATTTACTGGCATCATATTTATAGATATTTATGGAAAGGAATCATGTGTTTATTGATGTCTGTGGTAATGAACGTGAAATAACGTGCTTTTTGTTTTCTCATCAGGTTTATACATTCTTAACAGAATGCAATAGACCCTGCTGTAACTGTCAACATCAGTGATGGATGACAATATTTGTATGAGGTTATCTGTAAAATGTACTGCTGTTATTCAGTTCATTTGGAATAGTGAACTTGTAGCCAACAATGTACGAGTCCCACATTGTAGCTAGGATTTTAAGAGCACAGTGAAATGCTGTAGGAGTTTCTCTGTTGTTAAATTAATAGGATCCAGAGTACCGTATCTACTTAGTAGGTGGTAGCATGCTTTCTTTTCATAGAGAGTTTTATCACTATTGTGAGCACTGCAAATGTCAGACTGGATGCAAAATTGCTCCTAATAACTACAACAAAATACTTTAAAATTCTTATTTGCATAATAGCAACAATAGATTGGTGAGGGACAAGGAAGGACTAATTAGAAGCAGGACCTCCTAATAAGATTGTAGGAGTTAATCCTACACTTAAAAGACAACCTTGCTGCCTCTCCTAGTCCACAGCATATTGCAAAGAAAATAGTCATGAGCTTAAAGTACTCTTACAGTTGCAGAATACAGCTGCCCTTCTCTGTCCAATGGCAAACACGCCTAGTAAGTAAAACACAGTGAATTCTTATTTGGGAACAGTATCTCAGGAGCAGTGACCTCTCTGGGTGACGCTTGCTCCTGGTCAGAGGGCCAATGCCAAATCCGTGACCGGTGCAGACACTTTGTAGGGCTGACAGGGACTGAGCAGTGCCTGGCCCATGTGCAAGCCCAGGGCATAATGGCCAGTCTCATCCTGCGAGGTCAGGGGATGGGCATCCCCATCTGCTCCCGAGGGCTGCTTTCCTGAGCCACATACTGACCCATAGCTTGTGCTCCACTTGCAATAGGTCCCACATGCAAATGCAGGTTGGGTAATAAATGGGTTGTCTGTACATCTGCCTTACAATGAATAAGCACCACAGCTCTCTGATAGTAACAATGGTATCTCTAGCTTATCTTTAAATAAATACATTTCTTTGCTTGAACCTTACATTAAGGCTAAAGAGCATCTTGGTCAAAATAAAACTTTCCATGTGGTGGTGTCCTACCGTCCTCCTCCAGTGCCTGTAGGAGAAAGGCACAGCAGAATGTACTCAGCTCCATCAGCAGCTCCACAAGATGGCTTTATTGACTGGCACCAGGGTGCTCTCTTAAACAATTCCCCAGAGCCCTTGATGTCAGGAAAATGCTTAGTTCCTATAATTTACACAAAGAATGTTTTATTTGTATCTAATATAACGATTTCTGTAACAAACTGTGAAAAAAAAAAAAAAACAAAAAAAAGAGAATGAATTAATAAAAAGTACAGGGCTGGAAAGGTCTAGAATTCACAAATTGTACACATGCCTATGTTTCTGAAGACAAATCTATGCAGTTGTGTTGTATTGTAGGAAATTTCATTTTTATGTACATATATATATTGTAAATAAATAGGATGCTGTATATTTTTGCAGTTGTTTATCCCCTATGATATAGAAGTGTTAGATAGGCTCTGCATATTAAGAATAATTTTAATAGAAATACAAATACTTTAGCTTCTGACTTAGCAAAATGTATATCCTTCCCTTTCTCCCAAGAGTTCACAAGTTTAATCCTAAACTTGAAATTATAAGTACATTGCTAATGTAACAAGGAAAACAGAAATATAAGGTCCAGTGAAATCGCTAGGATTAATTCCAGTGCATGACTCCCTGTTTTCTCAACAGCAAGTTAGCCAGTCTTTCTGCTGGGTAAAATACCTCCCTTGTAAAGGGCCCCTTTGGTACCCAGGTACCTCTTACCTCCTCAGCTGCGGTCAGGTGGCAGTAAAATGCTGAAAAGGCTTTATGCAGAAACCAGAGCAAACTGCAGCCAGCAGTTTGATCCAGCATTATGCCATGTTGTATCCAGGCATGCATTTACCCAACTAATACAAACAGAAGTCAGGGCAAGACTTCTGCATTTCTATTTTCAGCCCCCAAAAATGCCTGTAGTTCAGAAAAAAAGTACTACAAGCCAGGGATGGGCAGCAACCAGAGCAATCGGTGCCATTTCTAGCCAGCTCCCTTCCTGCAGAGTCTTGCAACTGCTCCTCCGCCATAGACCCAGGCATGCCGCTATCATATGACCAAAACACTAGCACCCGAGGCTGATGAGAGTATCCCCAGCCAGGGACTGCTTGCACACCCTACCCTATGATGGGCAGGGGCCAGCATTTTGGTCATGGGATAGCTGCATGTCCAGGGGTGAGGATAATGGGAGGGGAAGTTGTGTATGTCCTGAGAGTGCCTCCGTCAAGAGTCTTGTTTAGACTTTCTCGCTGGTAAAGCACAGAAACATGTTTTTTCAGGACTGCTGAAAAACTGAGGTTGAGAAATACATCTAAAAATAATTGTAATTTTTTTCCATGTTTACTTTATGGTCTTGGATGAAAATGAAACTTGAAATAACATTTGCTTTCACCATGGGCACAACTTGGAGGAAAAAACCTATATGCAGTCACTTCTACAGAGCTTTTCAAATTAATACAAGTGTATGTTTTGTTTTCAGTGTTATAGCCAACAAAATATAAACTGTAAAGGTATTTTTCCACAGGACTTGAACTTTAACTTGTTTATAGAAACCTGGTTTTAGTGTCCCAGGGTATGTTAAGGCTCACCCAGATCCAGTATAAACAATACTGTTTGAGTGATGTACACTTGATATGAGCTCGTCTCTAATAGATTGTTGAAGTGAGTCATTGGTAATATTTTGCTCCTGCTAACATCACCATACTTTGTGCTGCTCATATCCAAATAAACGATGCAGTTTTTCGGTTTCTGTGTGTAAATAAAAAAAAAAAGTGTATTAAGTTCTATAATATCTCTGTTACCTCTATAGTTTTTAAACATTAAAATTGTGATCTAAACTAATGTTGAGGCCATATTCATTCTTTCAAAGGGATGACTATATATCATTATAATGCCTTAAATAGCATGTGCTCCCACTCTTATGCAAGTATTTTCACTGAACTCAAGGCATTCAGCTCTTGCAAAGCCAACTATATTAGACTGTGCAGTATATAGAGCAAAACATCAATAGATGTCTGTGGAGCATTAACATAAAGTCTCCGATACAGTTTTAGAGGGACCTGAAGCAGGGATGTATGGTCACCACAGACTGGGGTTGACGAAGATGACAGCTTTTCTCAAGCCCAGTGTTTGTTTTCGCCTACTCCTTGAAGACATGGTTGCCAGTCTGTTTCAGGGTCAAGTTGGGCAGTTTAGTTTAAGGGCTGCTGTTAGGGTTGGGTTTGAGTTCACATGCCAAACTGGTGCCTGGAGTGGCTAAAGCCTTACAGACTCTCTCTGTTATGGAAGCAGAAGCCATTAGCAGATGGATGAGGAAGATACCGGAAGACAGTAATGTCTTAAACATTCCCAGATAGATCTGCCAAAGTTCCTCTGTCAAAGCCTCAGAGGGTCTGGAAAATGCTAATTTTTTGCCTTTGACCACTAATTTTACTAGTGCTCAGGTTGTAGTGACCACTTACAAAAAGACCTTTTGGTTAGAGTCCTAGCCATAAGACAAGAGCTTGACTGAACAGGATGAGTACAGACTACACCTGTGACACAGTTCCCTGGGGCCCTCTGCAGGACAAATGATGGGAGGATCCTTGGCAAGCCTTTGCCCAGTCCCCAGGCCCAGGAAAATGTCTCCAAGTCATAATTCTGGGAGCACAGAGGTACAAGCTTCTGCACTGACCTGGTCTAGTAGCCTCCCCTGTTTGGCATTCCATTTGCACCCCCTTCTCTACCCAGCCAAGATTAATCATCTCATAGCCATACCTTAAGACACAGGAACATGGGTTGTGGAGTGGAGGAAAAAAGAGGAGAATCTATAGTTCTTTCTTTCCTTGCTTGCCAACATCCTTCCCAGTTACACACTTCTATATTTGGCTTGGCATGGTCTTGTACTCCCAAAGTCAGCCAGATCTCTGAGTTCACCTGACCAGTCCCTACTTGGAGGTGGGAAAAAAAAAAAAAAAAAAAAAAAAAAAAAAGGAAAATTACTATTTCCTAGGGCAAGGAATGCAGCTCTGTCTGAAGGAAGATTCCCCCATATAGTTCAAGTGGGGTCTTAATTTGACTTAAGTTCACGTGAAATTGCAGTTAGTTTTCAGGCTGAAGCCCAAATTCAAGCCACTGTTAAGGTGTCTCATTTCCCACTACACCAAGAAGTAAGCGCTCACGCCAACTTTAAGTGAAGTGTGGAGAAAGTGGAGATGGTAGGAGCAGGGACAAGTGATTAAATCCATTTCCAAGCCTTTCTAACAACAAACGCACGATAAACTGAACGTGGGGTTCGCTTCTTACACCCTGTACTCAGACCCATGCAGGACAGCAGCACCATTTGCTTTGCAGTCAGTTGTGTTAGCAATCTCTGGTTGAAATACTGACTTCTTAACACAGATCGCAGTGTGCTTAGAAAGAAGTTTTCAGGCAGCCTAGCATCTGTGTTTTGTAAATACAAGTGCCATGCATTTCTCTTTCAACTTACAGTTACAGAAAATAGAGACTCAAAGCTGTTGGTGTTACACTGCTAAATGCCACGGTGCTGGCAAGGGACAGTGCTGCTGGCATAGTGTGCCTCAGCCTTGCCATGGCTCACTGCTTGAAAAACATGAGGTTTTTGGGATTCTTGGAAAAAGGTGTCATTCAGCCAAGGCTTAGACAATAGGGCTAAGAAAGTAAACTGCAACCAGCTGAGGTGGCACAGGCCAGCCCTGTCTGGAAGCCAATTTCCAGAGCAAAACCACCTTGTGAGGCTGATGGTGGTGCCTGGCCAACTGCTGCCCTCTTTGAGATCCCTGTGCCATGGGCCCACAGAGGCTGCTGCCCTGGAAAAATGGAGGGAAGCGTATCACCACGGAGACAAGGACCACATCTCCTTGGAAATTGTCATCTGGCTTAAAGTCTCAGATCCTTTTCCCAAAGGTAACCAGATCCTCCTCTTCCTGCCTGCAGTGTCCCCTTGGGAGAGTGTTTGCCCAGTGGTCAGCAAAACTTAAGCACTGTCCTCTTGCCAGTTATGAAAAGGTGGTGAAATTCACCTAGTTTTTGGTGGCAGTCATTACTTCAGACTATACTCTCTGAATGTACCAGGCCCTGACCATGCCCATGAAATGTTCCCATGAGCTCTTCCTTCCTGGATACCTTTTGGGACCTGTGCTCAGGTAAGTTCTCAAAAGTGATTCTTTCCAAATTCCACTGCTTTCCCAGCAGTGCTCACGTCACATAGGCTTTGCAACAGCTGGACCATCCCTGTTACTGCCCGTTAGAGACCTGCCCCACAGCCCAGGCCAAGCTGTCAACTCCCCTCACCTCACTTAGGAGGGGTTTGCTCAACCATTCCCCTTGCACGGCAACAGCCCTTGCACTGAGGTATTTGACAGTGATTAGAGAGGTGAAAATGAAGAATCAGTTGCAGGAGCACCCGTGGCTGCCATTTCCCCTCTCCAGATTGTGCCATGAGCTCGTGCTGATGAGCAGCTGATGAGGATGAGAGGAGAGGGTCTGTTGGCCAGATGTCTCTCCAGCCACTGGGACCAGTCCTCCGGAGCTCCTGGATGTGCAGTTGCCGCAGACACGCGGCAGGCACGGGGCTCAGCAGCATCACCACAGCAGCCAAGAGTGTTGCGGATGAGAAAGCAGTTGTTCTACCCCTGGGTAATTATAAGGGAGCATAGCAGAGTTAGGCGCCAAGGTATTGGAAAGTGTTACGATAACAAAGAAACTCATGAAGAGGGTGGAGAAATTTTTATGACGTGAGATCAGATTAATGACCTGTACAACGGCTGCAGTAAAAACAGCAGCATACAGATGCTACAACATTTGTAGAACACATTTCTTCAAACCATAACCAAAGCCTGTAATTTTCTAGGATGTTTAAAAAAAAAATGTTTAAAAAAAAAAAAAAAAAAAGAAAAAGAAAAGAAAAAGAAGAAAATTATATGTTCACTGACAAAGCCAGTTCTTTCAGATTCTGAAGTCTCCTCGGGCTTGGTGCAGGCAACAGTTCCCACTAGTATTTCTTACATTAAAGCTGGATCTCCTATTAATTTTCAGATACTGTTTGTAGATAATCAGAGAAGTACCAGATGCTGGCGAAACAACTTCCCTGACATAACAAGGAATTATATATCTCCTGCAATTAGATCATCATAAAATGAAAGGAAAACAGGCATCAGTCTGCCATTCTTGCATTCAGCGGCATTTAAACAATGAGTGCAGTCTCTGTTACTATTGCTGGCAGGCCTCCAGCAGCACTTTGAAAAAGTCAGCATGGCCTCTCTGTAAATTGATAAACAATCTTGTTGAGCAACAGGCACAGGAACATTCAAGCCTTTGTTAAATTTTGACTTGAGTGGAGCACTAATTGGCGTCTTTCCAGGCAGAACAAACAGGGTCAACTTCTCCACTTTCCAGAGGCAGATAACCAGAATCCACAGCTCCCATAGTTAATGGAATAAAACCCAGGAATGCAGAAATTGTTTGTCTTCTTTAAGAGTTCTGGTACTGAAATGAAAGCTGACAAAAAAGCCTGAATAACTGAGTTCTAGCTGTGCTCATGGCTTCAACACACACTCAGTATCATTACACAAGCAGATGTGT